TCGTAACGGCGTAACGCTCTCGACATGTATGGAAATACAAGTTAATATACCAGATCATGCAATGTACGTGTCCACATAGAAAGTGCCCAATTGATCAACAACCACTCCTAGAGGACCTGACAGTTGTAAAAGACTATTTCCTTCTACCTGACCACCGGCTACGACAATGCCTTGTTTTGCATCGTCTTCTCATTTCATCACACGATGATTTCCATAATTAGACACGTACATTGCATGATCTCGATAAAGTTACGATTGCGAAGAGCAAAAATTTTTTCTATTAGTAGAGAAAATAATAAAATAAAATAAATTCATCAGATTCATTAAATCAAATTTACTACTATCCGTTACGAAATACAATGCTCCCGACTATTTTCTGAGTATCTCGGTAATTGAATGTGGTACAGAGTTCGGGTTTTCACCATTCAAAAGAAGAGACTTTGAGGCACAGTTTTATAATAGATATTAATTCGAAAATATTTTTTTAAAGTAGGTTTTTAGAGAGATCTTTGGAAAGCCAACTCATAGCTCAAAATCTTCAAGTACAAATACTTTCGGTTTCCTTCATGGACGGATAACCCAAAGTGTCCTCTTTAAGATGGAAGCCGATCTTGGTTTTCACTGGTTCGGACGTGGAATCGGATTCCCTGAAACCTTGGGACTGGTATCCAGTGATTCCAGGTGGGCTTGAAATCGGATGGATCAACTGCCAGGTGATCGATTTTCTTCACATGAAAATAAGCTGGTTGTAGCCGTATCTATCGAAAAAATAAAAATTCTCAGATATAAGCGGTATTTGTGCGATAAGAAGCCTATATACGAGAAAAAAAACACAACTGGCAAATATATCGGTATTAATACACGTCTATAGTTTTGTGAAAAAACAGTTCGTTATTGTATTTCCAATTGTGCTGAAAAAATGGTTAAGAGAAATAAGAGAATGATCTAAATTGATGATTTAGCCTGAAAAAAGAAAACAATTTGTACCTCTTTCAAGAGAAAAAGAGCTAGTTTAAAGAACAGTGATTATAAAAATTTAACAGGAGATTCAAAAATTGCATTTTTAAAAGATGTTGTCAATTATTTACAGCAAAGTTCAAACACAAACATATCAGAATTAATATATGATGTAATTCAACATTTAAAAATTGATATTAAACCAGGATTTAAAGAAAAAATATTTCAAAATTTCATTTACCATTTAGCTGTACAGCAAGAAAATTGATTATTAAAACTATATTTGATGGTATTACATTTTCAGAAATAAAAGATGATTTTGATATTAGTAAAACAAGATTTTACAATTATCAAAAAGTGGAACAAGAAGATGTTGAAAAGCATTTTTTATAGATATTCAAGAAGAGAAGTTGATAAAATGAAAGACGGAGAAATAGATTTAATATCAAATTTTATTAGATAAAGATGTCCAACATTTAGTGGCAAAGGAAAGAATAAACCAAAAAGATTGGATAACCTTGATGAATTATATGAAAGTTATTGCAATTTGATTTTAGAAGAAAATAAACAAAGAGACTCGTTTACACTTCTGAGTGGGACTACGTATAACTTTTGATATACATCATGAATTTCTTTCAAAATTTAGCTTCATATATTACTATTGTAGTAGTCCAATTAAAAAATATGAGAGAAATTAAAAAGAAGTTGCTCTGTCTTTTTTATTTAGACCAACTAAGAGACCTTGTTCCTTCGAATTTTAATGCAATTTGTAGTTTGCTATAAAGCGCGAAAGATTATGCGCAGAAAAAGTGGATTCATAGGTAATTGACTATGGTGCATCCAGTGGGTATATTCGCGAGATCTTCAGAGGGCCTTCAGGGGTCACCGAAGGTTCTCGAAGAGATCTTCAGAAAACCTTTCAGGATTTATTGAAATATGAAACTCCAACAAAATACTTGCAGAAATAGCTCGCTACGGCCTGTTCAATGGGCATATTATCAAAACCCTCTGATGATCTTCAAAGGATTTTCAGAAAAACGTTTCGTAAAACCATTCCCATTTGGATGGACCAGACGACTCGAGCGCAGCACGTCCAATGAAACCATACGATTTCCAGAATTAGCAAATTTTTTAATAAGATAATATATAACAAGAGTACAAAAAATAATAACAATTGTAAAAAAGTAAGAAAACGAGTAATATCACGACTTAAAGTTAATTTCAAAGTTAATCTTAATTTAAAGTTTTATTTCATTCTTTTTATCTTTTGGGTGTTCTTATCACCACATAAATAGAGTTCTCTCATTTCAAAATATCCAATACCAATTATTTTCCATTGTCTCCACTTCTTTACTTTCTTTGGTAATTTCTCAACTGTAATTTCTCGTTTTGGAATTTTTGTTGTTTTCTTCTAAAATCAAATTGCAATAACTTTCATATAATTCATCAAGGTTATCCAATCTTTTTGGTTTATTCTTTCCTTTGCCACTAAATGTTGGACATCTTTATCTAATAAAAT